AAAAGCAAAAAGAGTAGCATTTGCCCCATCCACGACTTCTTCAAAATAGGAACTTCTTCCCTTCTCCCTGCCACTGGCATCTGGGCCTTGACTGCGCCCTTATTTCCTGATGGATTTTTAACATCCAAAAGGGTTTGTGGGGCTTGCCTTCCTTCCTCTTTCCATGAAAGCTTCTCATTCCTGTCTTCATTATAAGGGTCTAATCATGCAAGGCATTGATTTCCCTGTTGGAGGAGAAACCATCCTCATTGTATTGCTCTCTTTCCTTCCAAGTGCCAGCCGCCCTTCCCTTAGCACCTGCTTCCTAGGGGGAAGATGTGGCTGATGGGAAAGGGGCCAGAATGTGTTCATTAGGAGTGCCAGCCTCTTTCTGAGCCCAGCAGGCTCCAGAGCCTCCCAGGGAAGAGTGGAGGGAGAGAGCCTACGGATCACAGCTGCCTCCTTCTCCCAAAGAAAAAGCCTGAGAAGAACCAGCCACAGCAGCATTCCTGGGTGACTCGGAAAGGCAGTGAGAGAAGCTTGCCTGAAGGCTGACAGGCACCCTCTCCAGCTCTCTCCCTCCCCCACTGGTTTCCTCTCTCTCCTAACTCTGAGGGAGAGCATGCCTTACTGGACCCCAAGAAAGTCTTGTCTCTGTCTTTAGGTAGGGTGTGTGACCTTTCCCAGCCGCTGGGGAGCAGTTTCTCCAATAGTGAAGGATTTTTAAAAAATATTTTTTATTGATTTTTTTTTTTTTTTTTTTTTTTTTTTTTTTTTTTTTTTTTTTTTTTACAGAGAGGAAGGGAGAGGGATAGAGAGCTAGAAACATTGATGAGAGAGAAACATCGACCAGCTGCCTCCTGCACACCCCCTACTGGGAATGTGCCCGTAACCAATATACATGCCATTGATAAGAATCGAACCTGGGACCCTTCAGTCTGCAGAATATTCAAGGATTTTGATAATTATTCAAAGAGACTAGAACAAAACTCCACAGTGGGATATGAAGAAAAGAGGAGGGTAAATGGAGTAGGGGGTACTCCCACCTATTTCCCCCCCCCCCTCATTTCTAAGAACTTTAAAGCCAGAGGGGAAGGTTACAGACTGTCACATCTCTAACACATGTCACGTACAAGGCTGCAGCCTCCTGAAGTCCCCCGAGTTTCTTCCTACCCTGTTATATAACACACACAGATGCACTCACATCCATGCAGTCCATTGTGAGGGGCACAGGACTGACCACAAGCTAAACTTCCCTGCTATTGGAACCTCTGCCTGTCATGCGGCTGCTGGTTCTGTGGACCACACGTTCTAAGTCACTGATCATCACACAACTGCCCCCACCTTGCACCTTTGTTGCCCCCAACACAACAAGAGCAGTCTGGAGTCCCGAACTCAGTAGATCCAGAGGCCCTCCCTTACTGTCTGCGTCCAAGGGCACAGGACAAAGGTTATCAGGGGGCCCATGGCCAGGGTAACGCTCCCTCTGGGGAACATGTGCTTCTGTCCAGAGTTGGATGACCTCTGCAGACCAGGCAGCAGTGTATCCCTGGGGCCAGTCATTAGGACGACTTCCCAAAGCAGCAGGTCACTGGTTTCCAAACCCGGGCTGGCCATCAAACATGATAGCAAGAGAGTAAATAGGTATTTTGCCTGGGAAGGGTAATTTGGCAATGACTTTTAAATTTGCTAAAGTGGGGCCTTATAATATAGTGATTCTGTTTCTAGGAATTTAATCTTCAAGTGCACTACACGCATGTGAAATGACATGTGAACCAGTTATTCACCGCAATACCATCTATTAGAAAAGATCGAGAGTAAACCGGATGTCCATCGGGAGCCTTTTTTTTTTTTTTTTTTGTATTGGTATAAAAGGGTCACAGATATAGAGTGTTAAGTTAAAATAAGCAAGGTGCAGAACAGTGGTTATATTTTACTATTATTAGCATAGAAAAGAAAGAACAATTACCTATTCAAAAGATTAAATTAGAAACCAGACCAAAGTAGCAAAAGGAGGAACCTTTCACCCGTTAGCAGTGTAGCCTGGGGAAAGGCTAGACTGAGAATTCAGAAGGAATGTTCTCTCTCCCCCCCCCCCCCCCCCCCCCCAACACACACACAGACAGAAGAGGAGGAAGTGGGCTGTCAGGTGCTTCAGTATTGCTCTGCTGGTTCCTAAGAGCCTCCACTAACAGAGGCCTGAAATTCCTCTTCTCATGGTCTCCTATGGTGAACCACCTAGTCATTCCCCTAACTAAGGCACACTCACGTGGTTAGGGGAAAACTTGTATGTGTGTGTGTTTTTAAATGTAAACATTTGTACATGCTTCTTCAGAAAAACAAGGTCACCCCCTAAAGCAATGACATCCTTTACAGCTGCTTGACTTCCTGGCACCCTCTTTCCCTTCCCCAGCCAATTCTATTGTCCTGGAAAAAAAAAACAAAAACCAAACTGCTAAATGACATGTATTTGTTTTAGAGATTACTCTTTAAGAATCTCATGACACCCCTTTGAAATAACTGGCATCGCTTTGGGGTGTTGCAAAACCCACTTGGGAGTGACCGCCTTGATGACCAGCAGGACGTCACAGCCAAGACTCAGGCCAAGTGGGGCCTGCTTGACTCGGGCATGACCTGGGCAGGGGCTGGGACTGGGTCTCTCTACTTGCACTCACTGGGCACTGCCATGGCTCCCAAGTTCTGCTTGGACTGCTGCATGGGCATGGAAGGCATTTGCTTGGGAGCCACTGACAAACCCTGCTCATGGGTGAGCTGCTGGGTCCCTGGGAGATGAATCTGGTTCTTTTTCCTCAAGGATAATTTTAGGTCCTCACTTCCCCTCCAGTCTTTCAAACTCCCAGCCCTTGGCTCAGCCTCCCAGAGGGATTGCTTACACCAGTGACTATACGGTTGTTCTTTTGAAATATAGAGCAGTTCAAAAGAGACATGCTGGGGCATGGCCCTGGAGGCATTTTCCATGATATTTCCCCCCTTTTTGTCTCATTGTTTCAGGGGAGGAAGCAAGACAGTGCAAGCATCAGGTTCTGATAGGACTTCATTAAGGTATCATATCTCCCTGCCCTTGAACTGGAATCCAGGAGCTTATTTTCCAGTCTCATCTCCCCACACCCAGTTTCAGAGGAACTGGCTTAGTGATTGGAATAGCTTGGCTGGCAGAACCAGCTCTAAGTCTGGATGAGGGTAGGGGAAGGGATGCAGGCTTTGGGCTTCCTCAGGTGAAGGGAACCTCTGATAAGAGGTATGAAGAGACTTGGAGATGCAATACAATCCCACACACATGTGAATCCCTCAAGTCAACCTCTTCCAGTTTTTAATTGAAAGTTCGTGAATAGCCCTAGCCAGTTAGGCCCAATGGATAAAGCATTCACCTGTGAACTAAAGCTTCCCAGGTTTGATTCATGCCAAGGGCACATGCCTATGTTGAGAGTTCAGTCCCCAGTAGAGGGTGTGCAGAAAGCAGCCGATCAATGATTCTCTCTCATGGTTGATGCTTCTGTCTCTCCCTCTCTTCCTCTCTGAAATCAATAAATTTTTTAAAAAAAAGTTCATGAATAAATCTTCAAGGAAGTTAGCACGAACACTTTCCCATGGGGAGGGTGGTGATAGGAGATGTGTGATAGTTGGGGGTAATGTGGATCAGCCTCAACATCAAACTCATGCATTCATTTTTTAAATATATATTTTATTGACTTTTTTACAGAGAGGAGGAGAGACGGATAGAGAGCTAGAAACATCGATGAGAGAGAAACATCGATCAGCTGCCTCCAGCATACCTCCCACTGGGGTTGTGCCCGAAATCAAGGTACATGCCCTGGGACACACGGAATCGAACCTGGGACACTTCAGTTCCCAGGCCGACATTATCCACGGAGCCAAACCGGTTTCGGCCCCATTCATTCATTTTTAACATGTCTTTTCAACAGAACTTTGAAGGAGAAAAAAAATGGGTCCATCTAGGAAATTTCCAGATGGAAAGGTGTGCGGAAAGGGCAGTGCGCAATGGGGAAGTTGGAGAAATTGAAACTCTCAGCATCCCAGGCTACGGAGGCCAAATTGAAATTCAAATGATAAAGACTCCTGAAAATGCCAAATTTCCCCAGTAGCTGGGGCGGGACGGGGGGGGGGGGGGGGGGGAAGGGGGGGAGGCGGGAAAGGGGGGGCGGGATTAAGGGAGCCAGAACAGAAAACTGGAGAGACAGGGAGGGTAAGTGAAAAAGAAGGAAAAGGGGGCAGATCTCACTGAAACGGCCTCCTGGGACAAGGGAGGATATTATTGGCTGCCCTCTGTTACTTAACTTACAATAATATCTTAGAGGAGGGCGCCCAGGTAGCCGAGGGACTACTGTGGGCAGAAAAGGTTACCTTTCCCTCCGCCGCGGTGAGCGGGGAGGCCAGGAAACCAGTGCTGGAACTGGTCGTGGCAGGAGTGGGCACATCCTGGCAGAGAAGTCAGGGCCTCCACGCTTCGTGTTTCCCAAACTTTTGACATATGTGTACCCCTTCTATAATTTTGGTAACGCTGAGTACCCCTCGTACTCATGAGAACGTAGAATTAGGCGCAGCTACGCACGGTACAGTGCATATCCCCACCAAACTCCGGTGCAACGCGTACCCCCACCAAACTCTTCCCAAACTCCTGGGGGTACGTGTACCACACTTTGGGAAACACTGGAAGTCGGGCTTCCACCTCCTTTTCCTCCCTCCCCTCCCAGTCCCCCCCGGACGCTGCCGAGTGTGGAAACTATTGGCCGCTGCCCCTTTAAGAGCCGCCACTCCCCCTCCCCCCCAGCGGTGGCACCCAGTGTGTGTGTGTGTGTCTGTGTATGTGTGTGGGAGGGGGGTATGGGGGGAGCTGAGCTTTCTCTCCCGGTCCACCAGGGAAGAAGATGGCCCGGGCCAAGGCGATCTCTCCCACGCCCCACTGCCCTCTCCCCTAAGCCGCGTGAGCCGGGCGCCCCCTTCCCTCCTTCCCTCCCGCCCGCCCCGCGCGCCACGCGGGGATGGCTCCGCGGACCGACGGCAACGGCTCCCTGGCCTCGTGGCCGGATGCCCCTACCCTGGCGCCCCACGCCGCCAACGCGAGTGGTGGGGCGCTGTCCGGGGCGCCGTGGGCAGCTGCGCTGGCGGGGGCGCTGCTGGCGCTGGCGGTGCTGGTCACCGTGGGAGGCAACCTGCTGGTCATCGTGGCCATCGCGCGGACGCCGCGGCTGCAGACCATGACCAACGTGTTCGTGACTTCCCTGGCGGCCGCCGACCTGGTGGTGGGGCTGCTGGTGGTGCCGCCGGGGGCCGTCCTGGCGCTGACGGACCACTGGCCCCTGGGCGCCACGGGCTGCGAGCTGTGGACCTCGGTGGACGTGCTGTGCGTGACGGCCAGCATCGAGACGCTGTGCGCCCTGGCGGTGGACCGCTACCTGGCCGTGACCAACCCGCTGCGCTACGGCGCGCTCGTCACCAAGCGCCGCGCGCGCGCCGCCGTGGCCCTGGTGTGGGCCGTGTCCGCCGCCGTGTCCTTCGCGCCCATCATGAGCAAGTGGTGGCGCGTGGGGACCGACGCCGAGGCGCAGCGCTGCCACTCCAACCCGCGCTGCTGCGCCTTCGCCGCCAACGTCACCTACACGCTGCTCTCCTCCTCCGTGTCCTTCTACCTGCCGCTGCTCATCATGCTCTTCGTCTACGCGCGGGTGTTCGTCGTGGCGACGCGCCAGCTGCGCTTGCTGCGCCGGGAGCTGGGACGCTTCCCGCCCGAGGAGTCCCCGTCGGTGGCGGCCTCGCGCCCCCGGTCCCCAGCGCAGGCGGGGCCCTCCGACAGCCGCCGGCCCGCGCGCCTCCTGCCCCTCACGGAGCACCGGGCCCTGCGCACCCTGGGGATCATCATGGGCACCTTCACGCTCTGCTGGCTGCCCTTCTTCGTGGCTAACGTGGTGCGCGCCCTCGGGGGCCCCTCGCTGGTCCCCGATCAGGCTTTCCTGGCCCTGAACTGGCTGGGCTACGCCAACTCTGCCTTCAACCCGCTCATCTACTGCCGCAGCCCCGACTTTCGCTGCGTCTTCCGCCGCCTGCTGCACCGCTGCCCGCGGGAGGAGCGCCACCGCCGCGCGGCCGCCGGCTGCCCTGCCTGGACCCCGGCGGCCCCGGCCCGCCCCTCCGAGCCCGGGCAGTGCCCCCCGCGAGGCGAGTAAGTAACGAGGCGAAGGGGCTGACACAGCTCAGGGGCAGGAAACATTCGGTGTCTCCTCTGGTCAATGTTTTGAGTTTGGAGAAGGTGGGGTTGGGGAAGGGACTCTGCATTGAAAAGAAGGGAAGACATGGACTAGGGAACCAAAAGGAAAACCGAAATCCATTCTCTTCCCGCATCCGATCCACCCGACTGTAGGACTGAAACAAAGCCGGGTTGTTCTTCACCCCAGCGCCCCATAAGCGCTGCCGTGCCCCCAGGCCTCTGGCCAGCAAGGTCAGCTCAAGTTTTGGGTTTCTAGCTCCGTTCCCTGGCCGCCCGGATTGCTTGTCCCAGCTCGGGCTGGCTTTGGCTCGCAGAGGCGATTGGAGGCCCTCCCAAGTCCTTTGCCCCAGTTCTGGCTTCTTTGAAGGTTTGATAGCCAACAAGGTGAGAATGCACTTGGGGTCAGAAGGCTCTGAGGGGAGTGAGGAAGCCCGGCGTGCGAGTTCCTCCAGCTGGTAGAGATAGGGCTGGGCTGGAGTCCGGGTAGGTTTGTGGCTGCTTGGGGCCGATGTTTTTGTATAATTACGGGTTTTCCAGGGTTCCTGGCCACCTGGGTCCCCTGTTTCCCCACCCTGTGCCCACCCACCCCAAGATTTGCTATCTTCATTTTTTTTTTCCAGGGCTTCCTGGGGAATTTCTTAGGCCTTGAAGGACAAGGAACAAGAGCTCCGTTGATCATTGATCCAGAACCTTTGGAAAGCTCTGGTCTCTGTTTAGAAGGAGCCCCGTGAAGTTCCCCAACTGGAAAACTCTGCCCTCCAGAACCTGATGAGTGGGCCACAGATGGGAAGGTGGAGACTGACTGGGAGGAGAATCCTTACCAAGTGTTTTTTTTTTTTTTAATTTTTATTTTATTATTATTATTATTTTTTACCGTCTTCTCTCTTTCTTTCTGAGAGAGGATTTTTAAATCCCATCCCTGAATTCAGCAATACCTCAGCAGCTAGAGAGTTGGGCTGCCCGTGCTCAGCTGCCCTTGGAGCCGGCAGGCTAGCTTTGGCTAGCACCTTGCTCACTTGTGTGCATGTGCTTAGGGCAGAGAGAGAGAGAGAGTACCCTTCATTCTATTCCTTCTGCCCCCCCCTCCCCCCTCTGACCTGATGAACCACTCAGTGCCCTCTAGGCATGGCAGCCCAGGCTGGGAGTGGGAAGCTAAAAAAGGTCAAGGTTTGGGATTTTTGTCCCTGGCTTCCTCACTTTAGACGCAGAATAGCTCTGATCTACCTCACCACAGTGTCAGAGGGACTCCAGGGTTTGGGGGCGGCGGCGGCGGGGGGGGGGGGGGGACTCCAGAGTTCATAGAAGGTGAACCATTAGAATGGATCCCTTCCTTACATTTTAAAATCAACTCAATAAATATTATTGAATGCAGTTCACCCATTGCCTTCTCTTCTTTCCCTCCCCCCCCCCCCCCCCCATAATCCACTTGCTTCTGAGAGCTGGCTTTTGACAGTGGCAATAAATTAGGACTAATCCTTATTCCTTTCTTCCTAACCTTCATGAAATAAAAATGAAACATCTGCTTGGATAAAGGGGAGCAAGCTTGAGCGGTTGACACTCCTGCCTCCCTCCCCACCCTTCCAAAAACTCCTGGAATCCAGTTCAAGCGAGTAGCAACGCCATGTTACCCATAGGACTGGAGCAATGTGTCCATAGGATTGAGTTTGCTGGGCTCAGGATCAGGGCACATGGAGCCTATGCCAGCTCCCCATGCTATAAGCCAGTGGTGGCTTCCTAAGATCCCGTTGCCAGCAGGTGCCAGTTTTATCCTGCCCTGTACGTGTTTATTCTGGAGGCACGGAGCATTGTTTGTATCGGGCATATGTCCTGGGCTATAAATATATTCTGACATTTCCCCATTCTTTCCCTAACCTCTATCTTCCCACTCCCTTTCCTGGGCTGCAGAAGTCTATAGTATCCTCTGGAAGTAAAACTGGAGTTACGAGTTTGAGCCAGTTGATCGTTGTTTTCCTTATGCCAATGTCCATGAATCTTATCAGGCAGCTTTCTACGGAAAGAACATTTTTATGGAAATCCCTGGATCTTTTTGTGAATTCTTATTTAATCCCCACGAACAGAGGCCATTGTCTGGACTGATGTACAAGATAACCTGTAAATCATAAAAAAAAAATTAATGCACTGAATGGCTGCAGCGTACAATGCATTGGCGAGGCTCAGGAGCTCCGGAGTTAAAAAACTTTGATCTGCCCCGAGGATAAACTCAGTGGATTTCCACATTTGGGTGTTCCCTGTGAATTGGACCTGGCCTGGGCTGTTCTCTTTTCTCCAGGAGTCCAGGTTTTTATTTCTTAGGATGTTTGCATACCACAGATGACTTTCTCCTTTTCAACCCAGGCCAGTGTGAGATCTCTGCCCTGTGAGGTGCGGAAGGTTTCTGGGCAAGGACTCAACTTTCGAACCCTTAGCAGGAGAAGGAAGTCTTGCTTTAGCCTGGGGCTAAGTAAGAGGGCCGCCTCTCCCATCTCTGAATATTTTCTCAGCATCACTGAGGAAAGTTGCCCAGTCAGTCCTAGGCAGGGAAAAAGGGTGATTTGGGGGAAAGGGGGAAGGGAGTGGAGAAGGATTCTTGTACTCCAATTTGTAGAATTGTTCTTGAACATTATCCAGGAATTCATACTCCTTGAGTCTTGCTTGACAGATACCCGTGTGCCAGCTGTCAAGACTCCTTTGGAATGTTTAGACTTGCACTGGAGCTGTGGACTCCATCTGCGAATTGTCACCAGTGTATCTGACAGAGGGAGAGGCAGCCTCTCCGGTTGTTTCTCCAGCAACTTGTGGCCAGGTGTCAGGCTGAGAGAGATTTACATCCTTGGATGGGGAGCAAGCTGTTTTTGTTAGCATGAGGCCTGAGCACTTAAACTGTGGAAGACAAACAACCATCCTCGGAACCCACAGATGTGAAGACATACAGACCAATGAGAATGAAAGAGCCCGTGGTGGACTTGCTGGTCTTGCCAGAGTCTGTTAGCAAGAGCTGGGCACGGGGCAGACATGACAGGAAGAAGGGGGCTGAGTTGGAAGAGAGGGAGTGAGGAGTGACTGGATTTTCCAGAGGAACTGCTAAGGAGCAGGCAGAATTAGGGCACGGGGGAAGCTGATAGACTTTTCTCAGGCTCTCCCCAGGGTAGATGCTTCAGGAGAACGAAGGTAAGTTCAGACTGTGGCCCTCATGAGCAGTCTGCGGGCTATAATTCCACCCCGACTTCATTCTCACCCTTTATAGCGAGGAGCAGCTTTTTTCTCTTGTCCTGGGGGCACAGGCGAAGGCCATGGAAATAGTGTTTCTTTATGTTTCCCTCCTGAAAACCAAAGATCCAGGCTTCCTCTCAGGCCTCTTTGCGGATTATGTCTGTGTTTGGGTCCAGAGGGGAAGTGGATGCCTCCAATGGAGAGTATTGCTAATGCTCTCCCCTAATCCAGGCAAAAAATCCTGGATATAGTCAGCTTTAGGCTAATTAGTGAGTGGTTGAAGCATAATGCAGAACTCAGTTTGGTTAGCAGAAACTCCATAGGCATCTGATTTTTCTTTAGCTCATCCTGTTATGAGATTAAGGAAAATAAAAATGCTTCCCTCATCTGTAAAATAAATGGAGAATAACCCTTTCTCTCCTCTCTTGTCTTCAGAAGGGGAATGAGCATTTCTGGGATGGTTGGCTCTCCTAAAGTTCGGTGAAGTCCTACGCAGAGCTTACTTAGCACCTTCATTATCTGCTCCACCCAAGGCATAAGCAGTGCTAGGTGCCCCCTGATGGCGATGTGAGGTACAACAGGTGTGGACTTGGAAATACTGGTCTGTTGAAAACATAAGGCCCCTGCCTATCCCAACTGGAAGGGACCACAGAAATGATTGAGACCAATCTTTTAATAAAATGGATGAAGAAACTGACTTCTAGAGAGGTGAATCATGAGAAACCAAGGTTTAAACGCAACACTGCGGTTGGTAGTATAGAGAGCACAGAATTCAGAGCTGGAAAACAAGTAAGAAAGAGTGGGGGAAACAAGAATTATTTAAAAAAAAAAACAAAACACACACACACGGGGGGAAAAAGGAAGGAGAAAAAACATAATTTATTGAGCACAAATAAATATGACTGTTTTATTTGGTGTCACTACAAATGTTACATTAGTGACACAAATAAAAAATAGTCTCAAAAAAATCACTGAGCTTCATAAAAATCAAATAGCTTGCTTGTATTGACTCTAATGCAGTCTACCAGACTCCAAAGTATATTTTCTTTTCTCCACACACAATGCTATAATCAGTTATGTGACGCTGAGCAAGTTACTTAGCATCTGACATGTTCTTTGCCAGTGAATCAAGTGGAGATTTTATTAGTGCTCTACTCAGCTCATGCAGACTGGTTTTGAAGAACAAATGACTGTATGCAAAAATGGTTTGGAAACTGAAAGGGCTTTTCAGTGTAAGTGGTGTCATTAGTTCAGGTATCCTGGTTTTGATCCTTGTATGGTCCTGCTTCTATCGACAGCTGGAATCTTGGACACACTTGTCCTTGGTCACTGTGGGCACATCCTACTTTATCTTTCTTCTGCCTGCCTCAGACCAATCCCTCTGGCTCCATATCCATGTCACTGAACATCTCCCCCTCTGGCCCTCTTTTCACATTCACACCCTGGTCTGGCTTGTGCCTGACATTTTGGTCCTGGTTTGGTTCACCCTATCATTTCCCTTGAAGCACTCATAATGAGCTAAATTTTAAAGGATGGACAGAAGGTTTAGAGACAGAGGGAACTTCCAGATGTCAGTGCTTTATGGGACATAGTCAGGGTTCATGAGAAGGGGGCCCTAAGGAACCAGAAAAAGGAAGATAGTGTATTTATTTGCTAGGACTGCCATAAACAATTACCACAAACAGAAATGTATTCTCTCGCAGTTCTAGAAGCTAGAAGTCTGAAGTCAATGTGTTGGTTGGTTGATGCTTTCTGAAGGCTCTAGGGGAGGAATCTCTCTTTGCCTCTTGGGGCCATCCTTGGTTGCTTGACTTGTAGCTGCATCATTCCAGCTTCTGCCCCCATCTTCACATGGCCTTCTTCCCCTATATGTTTGTGTCCAAATTTTCTCTTCTTCAAAGAACATCAGATATTAGAACAGGGCCCAACTTAACTCAGTAAGATTTAATTTTAATATGATTGCATCTATAAAAACCTTATCTATAATAATGAAAGGCTAATATGCTAATTAGACTGGATAGCCAAATGACCTTCTAGAAGTCATTCAGGATGTTCTTCCAGATGAAGCTGAGGTGGGGGTGAGGCAGATGCTGTTAGGGGCGATCAGGCATGTAGGCAAGTGGTTAGGGATGATCAGACAGGCAGGTGAGTGGTTAGGGGCAATCAGGCAGGCAGGCAGAGGGGTTAGGGACAATCAGGCAGGCAGGCGAGTGATTAGGGGTGATGAGGCAGGCAGGAAGAGTAGTTAGGGGTGATCAGGCAGGCAGGCAGGCAGGCAGGCAAGCAGTTAGTAGCCAGTGGTTCTAGATTGTGAGAGGGATGTCTGTCAATTTAGGCTCGATCTCTGAAGGGATTAGGCCTAAACTGGAAATCCAACATTTCCTGAGGGGTCCCAGATTGTGAGAGGGTACAAGCCGGGCTGAGGGACCCTT